CTTGTTATCAGGCGCTGTAATGTTCAGTCGTTAGCAGAGCGCCCAGCGAGGCTGCATGAGCAGTAACTCCACCCTTCTCTGTTCCTTTTCTCCTCCACTGCTTCGTGGACAGCGGTTCGTCTGCGTCTGAAACAAGCTGTTTTAGCCCCTCCCCTTTAACAGCTTGCTTCTGATTGGGTTCCCTTGTAAACAGCAGGTTTGACCAGTAGGTGGGCGGAGCTTTTCTGTCCTCACCAGGATATTCCCTCTCTGTGACATCACACAGCTCCCAGAGTATTCTGTTATTTTTTATTATCCACCTGTCCACCTGTATGCTCACGACCGATCAAACACTGCAGCAGATATTTTTCTGTGTTTTTAATTCAGATAACAGGAGCATCTGTTCTCTGATGTTCTCTGATGTTCTCTGATGTTCTCTGATGTTCTCTGATCTCCTGAAGGCCCCACAGTCCCACTGTGTGTGTGAGTGCCAGTTTACATACGGTTGTGGGGACCAACAGTCACTAATGAGGACAAAAATGAGTTTGAAGACATTTTTTAGACTCAAAATGTGGTTTTAGTGTGAGGGTTACAGCTAGGCTCAGGGTTATGGTAAGCAGCAAGAAAGCATTATGTCAATTAGATGTCCTCACTAAGACATAAAAACGAGAATGTGTGTGTTTGTGTGCTGCAGGTCAATAGGAGCTGATGTTGCCGAGGGCGCCCCCTGTAGGCAAGCCCCTCCTCAGCTCGCTGGTGTCACAGTGAGCGAGCATGAAGGTGAACGCTCTCCTCTCCATCACCTTCCTGTCGTCTCCTCACCTCACACCTGACAAATGAAAGGTGGAGGAGGCGGTCCCAGAGGTGACGAGTCCACTCCTCCTCCTCTTTATTCGCTGGCCTAGAAATGGAGGAGAGTGAAGGAGGCGTCACTCCCTCCTCCAGTTTTGGATCTGAAAATATCACTTTTCTTCCTCCTCATCAGACACATGATGGAGGCCGCTGGTGCCAACACCTTCCTCCTCTCCATTACAAGGTGTGAGGAGGAGGCAGGCGGTGGAACGTGGAGGAGTCTGAGCATGCCCACAAACTGCTCCCCGAGGAGCGAGCTCGTCGCCATGGTCACATACGGCTCACCGTTTCTGGTCATTTCCAACGTGGCTGCCATGTAATCAACCCTGATCTGAGGAAAGCTGATAGAATGATCACTGCGTGCATTAGTGCTTCGAGCACCAGGCCACGCCCCCCACACGCTGCAGGATGACAGGCTGAGACAGGAGGAGGTGGCGACCTGCAGCCGGGAGCGCCGGTGATGAAACGGGTTCAACTGACCAATCAGATTCACGTTCAGTCAGAGATCGGAGCTCAGAGCAGCCAATCCAAAGTCAGGAACTCTGAGGCACGACAACCCAAAACCACGACGCAGGACAGACGTGTGCGACTGCAGAGGACGGCGATGTGTTCAGGGACCTGTGCATCACAGGGGACACATCAGCTCCAACACAAGCACTGTTGCTACAGACATGTGGCGAGAGCGGCTCGCTGCTACAGTGAAAACACCAGCAGCTGATCCAGACGTTATCCTCCGCCCTGCACTACAGGCAGCTGCATCAAACACATCCACACGCATGTATTCTGGCACCATCAGCCCTACACGATCACACGAACAGGCATTTCCTCTGAAATCAACACGAGTCAAACAGCAGCAGGTAAAAAAGCTCAACATCACAAAAGATCAAAGACGTGAAGAACAGACAGGAAGTCCCAGAGTGGGAGGACGATGTGTGTCCACTCAGGACGCCGGTCATCTCTGCAGCTCT